AGTACTTAGAGTTGTAATACCTTACACGTGTGTCGCTCTGTTCCATCCTTGACACTTAAGCAGTGATCAACTTCGTTTTGCGTCTTTGTGTGTGAGTTTTGAAAGCGTGTAACAAGACGCTCGGCCATCTGGTGCCACTGTGGCTATTGCTTCTCTCCCGGCAACTCTCGAACCATTTCCAAGCCAGCTCGCCCAAACTTGACGGGAAGATTAAGCAACATAAGTCCGCTCCATGACGCTATGTCCACCATCAACCTGTCGAAGATGGCTCATGCATTAATATGGATCATTTTTCCGTCGTAAAGTGTGAATGATAGGCTGTGGAAGCCTGCCGGAAGCAGGTTGTTTTCTATAGTCCAGGAAAAAGGGTGGCGCTACGCCTGCCAAGGTCCGGTATCCTCAAAGACGGCATCGCTGGCGGGGTGGGGCATGTCTGACCTCCTACTGGCGTGAGAACCCCAGTAGGATAACCGCGCTGCAGCCGCAGGTATCCTCTTGTGCTTCAGCGCCGGCGGCCCGCTCCTTTAAAACTGCCCGCAAGATCCTCTAACTGAGCCAGAGTAAAGAAATACCTCGGACGTCGTCCCGGACGTGAGGGTTGTAGGTGCTGTCATTGCAGCGCTTGAGACTGCTCTGCACCCCGCGTCGGAATCACCGAACCTCGGTTAACTTCTGGTAATGGATATGGACAAAATCGAGTACGTCGCTGACTCCGACCGCACTGACGCGGGATGGGGTGCGGGCTCAGCATGTTCTTCCCACTCACCAACCTACACCCTTCACCTTTGACATGCTGCCTTTGAGATCCTCCATCTCACGCGCCATTCGCCGGGATCGACAGCATTCTATGATCTCTCAAAACTTACTTTCCAGTCGATGCGTGTGAGCTCTCTCCTCCGCCGGTGATCGTCTGGACTCCAGACATGGTGAATTACCATGACTTCTTCCGCGCTTATCCCGCGCGTCTACTGACTGTCCTCTGGTGGGCGTCCCCAAGTCCGCCATTGGATGGATGGCGAGAGGACCTTCTCTCCTTCGGGTGAACTCCGGGGTAGCTCCGTCTATGGCAGACAACGAAAACTCGTCGTTGTTCGCCATGGACGGCGATCAGATGAACCTAGAAGACAAGGTTTTGTCTGTCAAGATTCCCACAGACGGCGCCAATTGTGCGGGGAGTAAATATTCCGGCGAGCCCGTACTCCTTTCTTCCAAGCTCCGTTTATGTCCGATCACCTGCGAGCCAATAAGGGTGAGCTACCCGGCGGTGTGTGGCCGGAAAAACCCTCCGACGATCAAGTTAGCAGACACCTTAGGATAGAAAGAGAGAGAGAGAGGGAGAAGTGTTTGAATGTAAGAATTTCCTTACAATGTGTTCGTCTGTCGCGTATGGGGAGCGCAAACCTGCTTTTATACCCTCTGTGCCCCATATCTACTCCCAGTCATCTCCTGACACGTGGCTCCGCTTATCCCATCTGTCAGCATAGACCTTGCTGAACATCACCTAATTTCAACTGCCCGCCATCACAGCTGGAGCTCGGCAGCCGAGCTGCTCTATGCGTTGCTGCGCCGTGCCGTGCTTCATACCCAAGCACTTAACTGGCAAAGAGCAAGGAGGACCGGGCTAGGCGGCATCTCGGCAAAGCCTAGCCCGAAGCACCCCCTGTGGTCGGCTTTCCTGCCGGTCAAACGGTAACCTCGGCTAACCGCGCCTTTTCGGGCACCGGTCACTCGTCTTGTCTGGCTTCGGCTATCCTCGGACCGAGCATCCCGGTCCGACCGAGCACTGCCTTGCCGAGCCGCTTCTTTACGGTCTGGGGCGGGACGTACTCGGCCCAAGTTCTGCCCGGCCCAAGTTCTGCCCGGCCCAAGTTCTGGCAACCCATCTCTGGGCGAATAGTCGATCATCTCGGCCCCATGCGCTGCTGGGCTCTCAACCTGCTCGGTCGCTACCTCGGCCCAACTCCAGATCATAAATCGCCCTCTCAAGTAACATGGGATAAATACATGTCGTTAGATCCGCACTTTGAATTAATCTCATCACATTACTTTTCTAAATCAATTCTTCACTCAAACTATTTGCTATTCACCACCTCCACTAACTACTATACAACTCCATTCTAGTTTTAATGTTTGCAAAATATGAAGGTACGGTTAGAATTCTATAGAGTTAAAAATGCTTGATTTTAGTTTTTCTTATTCCATATTTGTGTGATACTCTTTTTTAAATTCATAAATTATGAAATAGTGTTTATTATTTTAATTTTATTTATTGATGAGCAAGCTAATTAATTTTTTTTAAATTTTCTTTTACAAATAAAAATATATAAAATTTTGTTTAAGAAATTAAAAAAAAAAAAGAAAAAGAAAAAGTGGAGCGAGGGCTTAGGATTGAACATATAACGAGGCAATTATTCATGCTATTATAGAGATCAATTTGATCTTATTTTTATGTGACTTTCAGTGTCTATTCCAAATCAAATCTACTCAAACAATCTGTCAAAGAGAGTACGATGTAATTTAAATATAAAGTTTAAAATAATAATTACCAAATATTTTTATTATTTGGCCAATCAATTTTTTTAGGCTAAGTCTTAGGCTAGCTCTTAACAATGGATAATTTTTTTTAACACAAGTATTCTCTAATAAAATTTTTTTTTTCTCTCTTAAATGTTCCTAAATAAATCATTATAGTATTTTTTCTTAAATGTTCCTAAACAAATCATTATAGTATATTAAATATGATGCATATATGCGCATACAGTTATCCTCAAGCAAAAAAAAATTGAAAGTGATGTGCTTTAAAAAACCAATAGAGAAATACTACTGTTGAAAAATAAAAGTATAATGAGTAGGAAAAAAAAAAAATATTGACCAACTTTTAATAACTTTAGAAAAAAATAATAAAAATGGTGTGGTATTTTTTACATGCTATAACTTTTTCAGAGGTAAGCAAGACACATAACATTAGCTAGGGTTTTTAGATCAGAGAGATGGTTTAGGAAAGAGAGAGAAAGAGTAAGAAGACAGGATTTTTTAAAAATTGGTAAGAGAGATTATGACGCGGATATTATGAAATATTTTTGTTAACTTTTCATTTGAAATTCATAAATTAAGGAATAGTTATTATTTCTAAAATAATTAATAATGATTAAATATATCAGTCAATAGTTTATTTTTTAATCTATTTTCTAAATTGAAAATTTAATAATTTTATAATGATGGTTTAGAACTCCTATAGGGCATGTTTGATTGGCTGACTAAAAGGCTGGATTGAACTATTAGTGAGCTACAGCAATTAAAAGCATGTTTGGTTAGCAAATGATTGGCCGGATTGATAGTCTGCAAGGATTGGTAATCCTGTATGGCTGTTGGATTAACATAGCTGTAGGGAGTGTGGGATTCAAAAGTTAGTCGGATTAACATAGCTGTAGGGAGTGTGAGATTCAAAAGTTAGTCCACGGATTGTTAATGGAGAGGGTATGAAATTACATAAGTGCCCCCTCCTCTTCAACCCTTTGTCAAATTATTATCAACATACAATGGGGTTAAAAAAAAAAGAAAAAGGAAAAAAAGAAAAAGAAAAAGAAAAATTGGGACGTTTATGTAAGGGGAAAGACACCCCACGGGGTTTGTCTCCCATTTTTATCTTTTTATTATATATATATATATATATATTTTCTAATTATTCTAACATTGGTTAGTTTGAGGGTATTTATGTAATTTCATATATTAATCCCATACCATAGTATTTCCTACAAACAAACACTCTTTATCTTCCATCTTCAAATTAATACTACCACATTACTAATCTCCTCATTCACTCCCATCGTACTCATAATCCCATCCAACTTAATCCGCTAAACAAACGTGGCCTTGAGGTGGTGGGTCTTCACTATAGTCTTAACTATGTAGAACCGAAAGGGTTAAGGGTATGATTGTAACATTTGGTATGTGGAATGAGAACAATAACTAATAATCAAATTACTAAATGTGTGCACTGAGAAATGATGTTGTAGACATCTCATTTTGACCAGCCCTACGACTTGGGATTTTCCTTAATATATATATATATATATATATAGGTTTGGATAACAACACATTGAACTATGGCTTGGTTTGGGAAGTGGGTTGTTTTTTTGGCTTTTTAGCTTTTTTGGCTATTTTATCTTGGGCTAAAAAGTTTGGTTTGGGAAGGACTTTTTGGCTTTTTGATTTTTTTGATTTTTTTTGTGAGAGAAGACTGTAATGATTATGAGTTGGATGTGATGTTTTGTTTTTTGTGGCTAAAATAGCCTATTTTATCTTTTGTGGCTAAAAAAGCCAAAAAAGCCCAAAATCTAAGTTGCCAAACAGAGGCATATGGACTAGTAAAACCTATTGGATTCCCAAAATTTCAAATGTTGGAATAACAAAGCAAATTATATTTATTTCATGAGAACTCCTTTGATTCTGTATGCATTTTGTTATGTATTTTTCAAGTACATGTTATGTATTTTTGTGACGAATATTATATAATTTTGTAGTAGAGTTATGATAATTTATGATTCATAAATGAATTATGTATTTTTTGTTGTAATGTTATACATTTTTTTGGATAATGTTATACATTTTGTGATTCAAAAATGTTTCGTTAGACAAAATGTGTAATATTATCACAAAAATACGTAATATTACTACAAAATTATGTAACTTTATTTATAAAATCATAAATTATCGTAACTCTGCTACAAAAGTATGCAACTTTTGCAACAGAATGTATAATATGACACAAAAATACGTAACAAGGTGTTTATGAAAGGAATTTTTTATTTGCAAAGTACAACAAACCACCATATGTTATGTAGAGATTTTTTTACTGATTCTAGCCCAAGTCTTGGCCCAAGTCCAATCCATTATTATACGGGTGGGTAAGAACCGGGCCTTAGGTTTCGTCTGGGATCGAGCCAAGCCCTTGCCCAAGGCCTCGAGTCCAAGTCCGGTATAACATTGGGCCTAAAGCCCAAATTTCCTCGGGCCAGCCCATGGATCTCGGGCCTAATTTACATGCCAAGATATTTGCAACGAATCTGATGCATTCCTGGGTCTTTAAACGAACCCGACCCGTTTTCGTTCTCTGCATCTGTCTCTCCGAACTCTCACTCTTCCACGAAGATCAATCGAACCAGAGAGCAAAACCTTCATTCGATTTCGCGATATCAAATCAATCATCGAAGAAGATGACAGTGGAGGTATCGAACGGCGCTGCAGATGCTTTGTCGTACCCCAACGGCGACGTGAAGCATCAAAACCCTAGCAGCGCCACCGCCTTGAAGAAGTCGCGAGAGACCGAGCGCCGCCGGAGACGGCGGAAGCAGAAGAAGAAAAACAAGGCTTCTGTGGCGGAGAACGGCGACGACAGCGACACCGCGGCTGACGACGATGACAATGCGAAGGAGAACGGCGATCTCCAGAAGGTATATACAATTTTTTGTTCTTTTTTCTGGATAGTTTCCTAGGGTTTTGATGAATTAGTAGCCAGCTGGTGACTCGTGTTGTGGATCTACCTTCGGGATAGAGATAGGAAAAATTGAAAATTATCGCCGTTTCAATGAAGTTGAACATGGTAGTGATTTGTGTGTGCTTATGATTTGCTTGGTTGTTTAGAAGCTCGAGTTCTTCATTTTTGAATCCATTTCTTACTGATTATTTGTTTTCATGGAATAATTGTGTCAGTCGGAAGCCTATTAGGGTTTATGTTTAATTTCTGCTCAGTAGCGAGTATGTAGTAATATATTATTATGTTATGTTTGCTTCATCATTTTCGTGCACTGTTTATATATATATATATATCATCAATTAACAGAGCAGAGACGTGGTACTTATGGAAATTTGCATTCTGGATTAACCAAAATGTTGTGGTTTATGTTGTTAATTACATGTTCGATGCCTTCAGCTTTATATTCGCTTTCTCTTTGTTTGATGATTAAAAACAATTTTGTGACGAGGAGACTTGAAACTGGTGGTTGTTATGTTTCTTTAGAGGGTGAAATAATGAGCTAAACCAGTCGTTGTTGGATGTATTGGCTGAGTTGCATTGTTTTGATTTCCTTGGAAATGAAAAGCTGTGCTGGACTTTGCGTATGTACCTGCTTCTATACTTTTATGCAGTTACCATACTAACCTTGCTTTTTTTTGTCTGTTTTTGGGAATACGAATTCTGTTTCATGAGTAATGGTCCTACAAAATTTGGTGTTATTTACTTATTTATTTTATGTTTTCAATTTTATAGGATTTAGTTTTGGCCCTCAACTAGCAGGGATGTAAACAAGGAGGAATGCCAAAGTCTTGTAATGTGTTTTTTGCTTTTAAATTTTTTTAGCTGATTTTGTTTTTGTTTGTTTTGGACACTAACAGGCTTTGGAGCAAGTTGAAGTTGAGTATGTACCAGAAAAGGCGGAATTAGATGGTGATTTGGATGATGAGTTTAGGAAGGTCTTCGAGAAATTCAGCTTTAAGGAAACTGCTGGGTCTGAGGTGAAAGGAATTTTGATAAAATATTGAGCATCTTTCTTTTGGTTGTATTGTGCTGATTTGTTTTACTCATTGCTCCTATCAAATTCATTCAGGAGAATGATAAAAAGGATGAGACTGCTACCAATGCTGCCTTAGCCAAGAAAGCTGACTCAGATTCTGACGAGGAAGAGCAGGATACGCAACAAAAAGACAAAGGCTTCTCAAATAAAAAGAAAAAGGTTTGATTTTCAGTACCCTGATTATAATGTTGCTGTTGATGCTATTGTTGCTGTTATTGTTACTTCTACCTTGTGCATTATTATAGACTAAAATCATTGCACATGGTCTTTCAGCTTCAACGACGGATGAAAATTGCAGAACTCAAGCAGATATGTTCAAGGCCTGATGTAGTTGAGGTAATGATGGTTGGTGAATGGTTTAATTCTTTTCAGTCATTTCTTGGTGATTGCAGTTTTCTATTTCTTTGGCTTGGTTACATCATCATGTCAGTACTATAACGATTTCCAACTTGGGATTGTAAAATTAAAGAATGAAACCGTTCACTTCTTTGACACACATTTTAAAAACTCCAATTTGTTCTGTTTTTCATATTTGTTGAGTTATTCCCAAAGGAAAGTGTGGAATTTAAAATATTTTATATTTTGAGGAAAGGTGATATTTTCATTAAGCCTAACTGTATTCTTAAGCCCTGATTTATCATTGAATGCTGACTATGATAAGTAAAATGTGTATATTGGTAATATATGTATATTTGCAATATATAATGTATATATCCTTATATTACCAATATGGCAACATATAAAGGTAAAGGTAAATTTTGTAATATGTATATATATTACCAATATATGTATATGTAATACATATATTACTATTTTATGATGTCTGATACTTTCTCTTTTTCTCTCTCCCTTCTTACATCATCAACTCCTTGAAACAATTGATCTCATTTCATTCTCTGGGAAGTATTCTATTTGATTGGCTGTAATAAAAAACTTTTAAATTTACCTAGATTACAATTCTCTTCTGAATTATTTGGATTTTTGCATTGTATGTCTTGTCTATAGTTGTGGTGGTTAAATAGTTCTTCCATAACCTAATAATGAATAAAGACCATAAAACACATCCGAAGATCTTTTTGATTTCAGGATAAATCTTATGTGGCATGTAGGAGGTTTTTTAATCATGTTCGTTTTTTTATGTTGCAGATGGATTATTGTCAACTTTGGCTGAGGGAGGATTGCTCTTTTTCTATTTCGTTTTTTTGGCAGTGTATATGAGATTTGTACATGGTTGTAGTTGTATAGCTTATAGGCTTGCATTTTTGAGTGTACAAGTTTTTTCCCTTAAGGTGTTTTTGTTTATCTTTTCTTATCAAAAAAGAAAAAAGGAGATGGATTATACTCAAGGAGGTTCACCCGTTGAATTTTTTCCCAAGTTTAATGTCAAAAGCTCCTTTCTTCATCTATAATTCCTTTTGCCTTTCTATGAGGTGTTTTATCTTTGTAGTAGTCAAACCCTTTGTTGTTCCTACGAAGAAAGGTTTCAGATTAATAAGCTTAGAGGAGAAATTATTGGCAAGATTGAATTTTCTTGGTGCAATAATTTTTGGCATCATTTGTTGCACGAATAGATCATTATTTATTTTACCATTCATAAAATGATATTATTTTGGGAAAATATGTATGATCATTTTTCTAGTTGCAGTTGTTATTGTAGCTGTTGTAGTAATTATCTAATAATTTATGTATTTAATTTTCAGGTATGGGATGCGACTGCATCTGACCCAAAGTTATTGGTATTTCTGAAATCATATCGAAATACTGTTCCAGTGCCACGACATTGGTGTCAGAAAAGAAAATTTTTGCAGGTTAGCCAATCCACCTAATTGTACACATCAGGTTAAATATGCATGCATGTTTAGTGGGCATACTTAAATGAGAGAATTAGGAGAGAGGTGATGGAAGATAACGTCGATGAGGTTTCTCTTATATGTATATATGTGATTCTTGCAGGGGAGCGGCTGTGACAATCATGGAGCCTGGATATGTAGGTGTTTGGCAAAGGGGACCTTTGGATGGTTTCTCTTTTAACATGTTTGTTAGTTTGGGTTGGGTATAGACATTTACATAACACCTTATTTTAAAAAGCAAAAGAAAAAGACAAAAAAAATAAAAAATAAAAAATAAAAAAAAATTCCGGGATGAAATATCTTTTTTACATGTTAGATATTGGGGATCTTTGACTGGAAGGATGCTAATTAATCTGCTTTGAATTTACAGATTTTTTTGCATTATGCATAAAGCCTGGGCTGAAAATATATTTTTTACATAAGATATTTGGACTGTTTGTATTCTTACGTTCTAACATATTATTCAAAAGTGATCTGATTTGGGTGCAGAATTATCTAAGGATTTATCTGATTGAAGACTCCTACCTCATCAGGTTTTGAATTATTTTGCAGGGGAAACGTGGTATTGAGAAACAACCTTTTCAACTTCCTGATTTCATTGCTGCTACAGGGATTGAGAAAATCAGACAGGTAAGCTCAACTTGTGACTACTTTACAGTAATAATTTTGTTTCATTCTTGTTTATGCACTCATGGATTACTACATCTATTTGCTTTATCCACTAATAAAAAAAAAACAAAAACAAAAACAAAAACTTTTTCTTCCTTTGTTTTTAAATTTTCTACAGCTGTTGTTCTCTTTAAGATGACTACATTGCCTGCAAATGGCATGAATTCTTGGGAGATGCCACACTTATTATTCTTTAAAAAATGCATCCAGTAACAATTTTCTTTGAAAGTTATAAATTTCTTCCTTCGTTATCCAATTGTGGATTGATCTTCATAGAAATCTCAAAATTTATCTGCCATTTGGCTAGCAGCTTGGTGAAATCACAAGATGTTTATCCCAATTGTCTGTTCATTTTAGTTTTCCCAACTTTTACATTTTAGTTCACACACAGCCTTGAGTGCAAGTAGAAGTAGAGATTCCCACTAATCTAAATAAACAAGAATAGAGGTAGAGAGAGGCAATACTGCTGCTGTTTCATGAATCTCAGAATGATGCTGATTTATGTGATCATTCAAATATGATGCCAGTTGCCGAACTTGCATATGATTTTACTCTGATACTCAATGACAGTGATTATTCAGCTCTTGTTACTCTTCCACTCTTGTTTCCTGTGTTTTTGGTTCTGCTTTTTAGGCTACATCCCAAACTTAAATTATGATGTCTTTTCTTGTTTTTTAACCCCAACTGCCAAAATATTTGTTATTGCTACCAATTGTAGCATATTTTATTGTTTAATAATATATTCTTACAGGCTTACATTGAGAAAGAGGACAGTAAGAAGCTTAAACAAAAGCAACGTGAGAGGATGCAGCCAAAGATGGGAAAAATGGACATTGATTATCAGGTTTATCTCAAATATTGATTTGTAGTTTGTCTTAAGCACTTGCAATATTTTGGTTTGGAGGTAAAATTGCATCTGTTTATTTCTCTTGTTTTTGGCACTGTCTTGACTTGCCTGTGCCAATGGTTCATGGTTGCAGGTTCTCCATGATGCATTTTTCAAATATCAAACTAAGCCGAAGCTTACGGCCCATGGTGATCTTTATCACGAAGGAAAAGAGTTTGAGGTATGAACGTTGTGTTGGTATTTGCTACATTAATAGACAGAAAAAGTATATGTAGCCTCAATTCTGATGTTGTTCAAATATACTTCATTTTCTTAGTTTTCCCCGATATATAATTTTTTGTATTCCCTTTAAAAGCAGTGTATTTCGTAATGTTTGCTCGTATATCAGTACAATATGAGGACCCTTAGGTTTAGTATGCTTACCTATATTACAAATTTACATATCACAATGTTTGAAAATGTCTTGCCTGTACTTTGTTAGAATGGTTAAAGATTGTTTCATCTTAAAATTCAATGGTTAGATATGTTTGGACGAATAGAGTTGTGAATATGGAGAGAAATGAGGGGTTGTTAATGGGACACGGTAATATGTAAATGAGATGAGATATGGAAAGAATAAATAAAGACCTGAGTGACGTTAGAGGGAAAAGAGACAAAGCGAGTTGTTAACGCAAAAGAAGACATTGGTCTCTTGCATTGACTGAGAGAAAAAGAGAGGTCTTACTTTTGGAGAAAGAACAACACCTTGGGTGAGACAAATGTATGGGTTGGTCTAGCTTTTAGACAAAGGAGAACCAATGGAAGACATATAAACGGAGGGAGATAAGAGAGTACACACGCAAGAGAGAATAACTGGAGTGAGAAAAGATTGAAAATATAAGAGGAAGGCAAATATGTGTTGGAGGGAAATCAGTGAGAAAAAGAGTATGTAGAGAGAGAGAGAGAGAGAGAGAGAGAGGACTAAAATTGGTAAAGAAACTAAAGAGGGAGACAAGAAGATGCGAGAGAAATAGAGTTGAACTCTCCCTAAGGGGAAGTTGAATTAGGAGGCAAGCACTTGGTGCTTTGCAAGGGTCGGGATGCTAACTCCCATTGATGCTAATCTAACAACTAACAACTAACAACTAACAACTGACTTTCGCCGATCAAAAAATAAAAAAATAGAGTTGAATTGAGGGTGGTGAATAGATGAACCAAGAAGCATCATGAAGTGGTGATGTGGTTTGATAAGGTGGAGACGACAATGGGTTGCCGAAATGGAAGGTGAACTATGTTACACGGACTTGTCAGTTTTGGCGAAGTACCCGTGTCGATACGATTGAAAAAGGAATTAATTCCTTAACTCAGGTTTTCCTTGAAAGAAAGTCGTGGAACAAGGAAGACCAACAGCTGAAATCAATAGAAGAAACTCTTCAACAGCTCAAGCGAGCGCTCGTTGAATGAGTCAAAACGAACTGGTGTATCTTGAAGCTCTCAAAGCATCTGAAACAACTGAAGCACCGGGAATTGGTTTAACAACTTCCTCAGACAAGTTGTCCATACCATCAGGAGTAAAAACCCTTATTCGGCAGAATAACACCATAATTGAATTGTGTTTAAGATTGTCAAAACAGGTTGAAGCTCTTGAAGGAAGAATCCGAGCTTTGGAAGCCCAAAAGTCTCCAGCACTTTCAACCGACGATCTTGTTGCAAAAATTGCAAAACTCTCACTCGGACCAAAGGAGAAGCCAAAGGAAGGGAAAGGACTTCTCAGAGTTCATAGAGATCCAAACAAGTTGCTACAAGACGAGCTTGATAAACTCAGGCTTAAAAATTCATGATGGCCTCAACATCCAGAACAAGAACGGTGACCCTTCCACGAGTTACCAATCAGCCTCGGCCAACAACAGCAACACCTGGAGTACCACTGTTTGAAGATCAAATTCGAGGATATCGTCAGGACCAGCGACGAAATTATGTCTTGCAGCGAAGAGCCAGAAACGCACTTCAACGACTAAGGGGGCGTCCTTCACCATCAAATACCCTGGAGCAACAGATTTCTCCAGAAGTACAGCTGCAATTATCTATGGCGGAACGAGCAAATATAGCACCAGCTGAGGTGTTATATAGAACTAGACGAGATGATGCTCATCATCGAGTTTATGTTCACAGATCTGAAGAAGCCGTATTATGCATAGGAGACACGCAAGTTGAAAGACCCTTCATCCAGGAAGAAAGCTATGAAGAACTACGACAGAGTCATATGCAGTACATCCATCTCGGAGTTGTTCAAATCCGACTTCAAGTTCTACATCGGATAGAACAAGGGAATCTTGCTGTTCTAGTACTTCGGGATACAAGATGGACGGGAGATCAAGCAACCTTTGCATCCATGGAGGTTGATCTTACACGAGGAATACAGATGGTCTACATAGTTCCTAATACTATGATGACTATTGGGGATTTCTACAATCATGTGCAGATCGTGATTCAGACAAGGGGATATGAGAATTGGCAAGGAGGTGAAGCCAACCTTTTGATCACTCGAGGATTAGTCGGAAGATTATCCAACACTCCCAACGTTGGATTCGCATATGAAATTCAAGGAGTTACTGAATTTCTAACATCTCGAGGAGTCAAAGCAATCCCAGGAGAACAAATTTCTACTGATGTCTTACGAGGACGCAACTGGATTATCCGACCACCAGTCCGACGGATACATCCTCAACAGCCTACAACAGCTATCTCTCGAAATTTGCCAGGAGGAAATTTCAGTCTAAAATTCGGAGATTATGTAGCCGCTCAACAAGCAGATCCAGTTCATTATGATGCAAATGATAATGAAGTGATGCAATCTGATGATGATGCTCAATCTATTCAGAATGAATCCCGAAACCGGCAAGAGACACTGTTGTACCTAGAAGAGCAACCAAACCAGAAGAAAAATCCTAACAAAGATATTTGGGATACACTTGGTCAGCCTAGTGGTAAATATGATTATTTCGTCAAATATAATCCTCCTAGCCACTATTCTGGAAAAAGTTTTGAAGATGATCGTCAACAAATCATACCAACTGGATGGGAATCAGACGATGATGCTTTAATCGAAAGACGACAACAGAAGCAGCCTCATTATCTTTTATCTTCATCATCAGCCGTAACCTCTCATTATAATCCTCCGCAGGATTCAATAATGGGTCCCCCAGGTTACCCACCAGCAACAGGACAGGGTCCTTCAATCAATATTCCTGAAAGACCTTCTTACACAGGAATACGATCCAATTTCAGACGAGGAGCAAACAATGAAATGTGGAATTTACCATCGGCAATGCAACAGACTGGAGCTCTATTTATTATTCCACAATCTCTTGGAAGATTTGATGATATCTTCATGAGATGGGAGTCAATCACAAGATCCTATGTTGCTTCTCAAGGATTCACAGATGTCAGAGATAAACTTCTGTTTATGGAAAATCTCCTCGGAGAAACGGAGAAGTTAATCTGGACACAATGGCGAATGAGGTATGCAGATGAATATGCTAACCTTGTTGCTATAGGCGATGGGAATGAAGGTACACAAAATATCATCTCTCAGATGAGAACTGTGTTTACTCTTGAAGACCCCTACCAAGGATCAACATTGATGCAGGAGGAAGCTTACCGTGACCTTGAACGACTTTCCTGCCGGGATGTGAAAGATATCATCAAGTTTCTTAATGATTATCTTCATCTTGCAACAAAGTCAGGACGATTATTCATCGGAGAAGAGTTATCCTCAAAGCTTTGGTCAAAAATGCCGGGAGACCTTGGTGAAAGAATTAAGAAAGGATTTGCAGAACGACATGGAGCAAATACAATTGGCGTCGTTCCCCGAATTCTTTATGCTTATAAGTATCTGGAAGCTGAATGCAAGAATGCGGCGTTCCAGAAGTCACTTCGTAATCTGGACTTCTGCAGGGAAATCCCTATCCCTGGGTACTACAAAGAACCAGAGAAGAAGTATGGTGTTCGAAAGGCTACCACCTACAAAGGAAAGCCACATAATTCTCACGTCAGAATTGACAAGAGGAAGTATTTACAAAAGTCAAAACATTGTAAATGCTACTTATGTGGAGAGGAAGGACATTATGCACGAGATTGCACGAAGGAGAAGAAAAATGTCAAAAGGGTAGCTGTGTTTGAAAATCTGAGTATCCCTGAAGACTATGATGTGATGTCTGTAGAGCCAGGAGATGAAGACTCAGATGCAATCTACTCAGTATCAGAAGGGATTGATGATACTGAACAAATCGGAGGAGGTTTGACAGAAACAATTTATATGCTTCGAGAAGCTGATAATGTTTATTGGCTTGGCAAGGAAGGAGGATATCGGGCTCAAGTTAAAGTCTCACCTGAGATCTATCACTGTCAACATGAATGGGATCAACAAAACCCATTACCTGAAGACAGGAGACCAGAATGCACTACATGTAGAAGGGATTTATCCTCATACTCGAAGGCTTTCTGCAACAGATGTAATGCCTTAACATGCGCACTTTGTGCCAAGCATTACTTCAACCTCACTACGTTTATAACTCGGAAAGCTCCAATTCCCTACAATCAGAAGCCATTGTTACAGGAGCAGCAGGAGTATATCCGGTGGTGTGAAGCTGAGATGAAGAGGCTACGAGAAGAAGCTATCCAATATAAGACTGAACTTGAGGAGCTCAAGTTAGTAATTCAGCTTCAAAATGACGAACGAGAACTAAGACAAAAAGGAAAGTACAAAGAAGAAGAAATACAGGAGTTGGAAAGAGAAGCTGAAGCTCATGTTCAATTTGAAGAAAGCCTTTATCTTTGCAAACTGCGGATATTCAGTTTCTGCTTCTTTGTCTACTTCCTCCATCATAGCAATTATATTGAGGGTTGAGTCAGATTCTTCTTCATCATGTTGATATCCCAAAGGATCATGGAACTCCTGTGAATCATCTGAATCATCATTTTTGTACTGCAAGGCAGCTTTCCCCGTGCTTCCAAATCCTTCAGTACTTCTCCAGTTACGAGCTTCGTGTTGATCATCATTTCTAATGTCACAGAGATTACGAGCATCTTTCTCCGTCATTCTTGGTAAAGAAACCTTCTCAAAGATGATCTGTGCAATCCTGTCACCAGCTCGAACTTCAAAATCATACTGACTATGATTAAAGATAAGGACCTTAATTTCCCCTCTGTAATCAGGATCAATTACTCCTGCACCAATGTCAATGCCATGTAATAAGGCAAGTCCTGATCTTGGGGCAATTCTTCCATACATTCCACAAGGTATTTCCATAGCTAGACCAGTAGAGATTAGTTCTCTTCCGTAAGCTGGTATGTCGTACATAGCTATTGATGTGAGATCATAGCCAACGGCTCCATCAGTTGCACGAATTGGCCTAGTTGCATGTGGTACCATTTTGATGAACTGGACAGCATCGAATCCTTCATACTCGCTCATAGGATAGCAAGTTCGGCAGAGTGGTTTTTCCTTCTTGTCCTTCTGCTTCTGTTTTCTTGACTGTTGTTGAGGAGGATAAGATGATTCAGCATCAGTATCAGTTTCTGGTGTAGGCAACATTCTTTGCCTATGTCGATGTTGCGGTGGATGCAATTCATGAAGTTGTTGAGGTCGTGGCTTCCATTTTCTTCGTTCTGAATACGACCTTTGTGGGTACTGCGACTGCTGCTGCGACGACTGCGGCTTCTCACCACCTTCCGTTCGCCGCTGGAACTCTGCATATCTCATGCTTGCTTCTTCAAGAGTTTCTTTGAAAACATTTGGTTGTTCCTCAAAGAATAGCAGTGTTTCTTCAGGTGGTTGGTCAGTGCTTGGCATGACTGGATAGTCTGTTGAGTCATCAGAATGAGGGGTGTATGTGGGATCATAACCCAAAGGATAATCTTGTTTATTCACTGTTTTCTATCACAGAATGGCCAACCAAGGAGGAAACAGAAGATATGGAGGTACTAATCGGCCTGCAGCAGCTCGAAGAACTTATCCAGCCCTTCAGCAACATGAACGGATCACCCTCTCTCAGACAGAGCCATCAAGTCGCTGGATTGATCCTCAATTTCATCCCATTGCTGTACGATACCAATCTCTCATGCAGCAAATTGAAGATAGGTTCACCTACGACTCAGGAATCCCCCTTGATGAAATGGCAGAAATTCAGGCCAGTCTTACCCACGAAGAAGATGATGCTATCGGACAGGCAAGGACCGCAATCCAGCAGTTACGAAAAATCCAGCAGCTTAAGCTCGAAGCTGTTGCTAGAACCGCCTGCAGTGACAACCACTATTCAGACATCCTGCCAGAGGTTCACCAGCATACCTGTGAACTGAACGAAATTGATAGTGAACTGTTTGACCTTGTTATACTGATGAGGACATTTCGCTATTAAGATCAACAGATGGGTTCATGCTTATCACATTGGGAAGAACGTGGTGGGCATAATCATAATAATAATAACTGTCAGATTCTATGCTTATCTCTTTGAGCATGGACCAGTCCAATAATAGTTAATGTCTGCAGTATTATTTCTCTATCAATGTCTCTATCAATGTCAGTCAGTAATAGTGTCGGCAGCATTATTATTTCCACTTTAATCAATACTCAGTTAGCTGAGAAAAACTGTGGAATAATATCGTTTGTCCTTTGTGAGATATTTGCACAATAATATGCTTGAATTATGGACTTGTCATAATCTGGCATATCGTTTTAGGAAAATGTGTGAACCAGAGGTATGGGCTTGTCATATCCTGGTAGTAAGTGGAGTCAGTGGAGAATCAAACACACCAATAATGTGTCGATGAGGCTATCCAAGTGCACTCGGCATTATTGAATGTTATCTTGATTTTCCTTATAAATAGGTTGCTAAGTTTAGTGTTTCAAGCATCAAGACAAGTTCCAAAAACTACACTTGACACTTGAAATCAGTCCTGTGAGTCTTGTAATCAAAACTTCCGCACTCTGTAATAAAATTTCTGTAAGTTCTCTATAGTTTCTATAGTTCTTTGCTTATCTTACAGTTATTAAGATCCTGTCCTCTAAAACGATATGCCAGATTATGACAAGTCCATAATTCAAGCATATTATTGTGCAAATATCTCACAAAGGACAAACGATATTATTCCACAGTTTTTCTCAGCTAACTGAGTATTGATTAAAGTGGAAATAATAATGCTGCCGACACTATTACTGACTGACATTGATAGAGACATTGATAGAGAAATAATACTGCAGACATTAACTATTATTGGACTGGTCCATGCTCAAAGAGATAAGCATAGAATCTGACAGTTATTATTATTATGATTATGCCCACCACGTTCTTCCCAATGTGATAAGCATGAACCCATCTGTTGATCTTAATAGCGAAATGTCCTCATCAGTATAACAAGGTCAAACAGTTCACTATCAATTTCGTTCAGTTCACAGGTATGCTGGTGAACCTCTGGCAGGATGTCTGAATAGTGGTTGTCACTGCAGGCGGTTCTGGCAACAGCTTCGAGCTTAAGCTGCTGGATTTTTCGTAACTGCTGGATTGCGGTCCTTGCCTGTCCGATAGCATCATCTTCTTCGTGGGTAAGACTGGCCTGAATTTCTGCCATTTCATCAAGGGGGATTCCTGAGTCGTAGGTGAACCTATCTTCAATTTGCTGCATGAGAGATTGGTATCGTACAGCAATGGGATGAAATTGAGGATCAATCCAGCGACTTGATGGCTCTGTCTGAGAGAGGGTGATCCGTTCGTGTTGCTGAAGGGCTGGATAAGTTCTTCGAGCTGCTGCAGGCCGATTAGTACCTCCATATCTTCTGTTTCCTCCTTGGTTGGCCATTCTGTGATAGAAAACAGTGAATAAACAAGCCTGGATAATGCATCAGCAAGAGTATTATCAGAACCATTAATATGTTCTAATGACACTTCTATGCCTAAGCCAGTAATGTAATCCGTAAAGGCTATCCATCTAGACCGTGATGGTTTATGATCCACTGTCTTATTAAAGAAACTGATTATGGCCTGACAATCAGTTCTTAAGGTGAGCTGCTGTTTGTCAAGATAATAAATCTTGAAAGACTCCAGAGAATTCATGCATGCATAGATTTCTGCATCAATGGTGGATTTAATTGGATTAAACTTCCCACTAGCATATGCACAAATCTGCTCTGTTGATCGTGGGTCTTTAGCAGTTAGCTTCCACTTGCAAATTCCTCCCCATCCTTCCATGCACCCATCTGTTTCAAGAATAATTGAACATTGTGCTGGGGGAATTGACAGATCAGGCAACTTCTGGATCTTGGCCTTGATCTTATGGATCAGCTCCCAATCTTGGGCATTCAACCTCTTCTCTCCATTTGGGCTGACCTTCGAGTATAATGGGCTTAGCATGCGGCCCAAATCTTTAATATATTGCCTGGCATAATTGAGGAGGCCCAACCATGATCGTAGGCCCTTAGTCTCCTTGAGTGTTTCTTCCGGAAATTGGGCCACTTTGGTCACAACATGTGGTTGTAGCTTTATCTTTCCTTCCCCAATTGTTGACCCGAGAAAATCTATCTGGATTTTAGCAATCTTCATCTTCGTTGGGCTTAGGATGAGTCCATTCTTCTTGCAGATTTCCAACATGGATTTTATGTGCTTCACATGCGTCTTTTCATCTGGAGAGAAAACCAGGATATCATCAATGTAGACAGCAATGTAATCCTCAGTTCCTTTGAAGCATAAATCCATTTTCCTCTGAAAGACTGCTGGAGCGTTCTTCAATCCAAATGGCATGACTAGCCATTCATATAACCCGAGGGGTGTCCAGAAAGCAGTCCATTCAATTGAATCAGGATGCATGGCAACCTGATGAAATCCGCTCTTTAGATCGAACTTGGAATAAATACGGCTATGGCCTACTTTTGCCATAATGGTATTTATACCAGGTAGACTGTATTGATCCTTGTGTGTATTATCATTTAGCCTTTTATAATTGCACACCATTCGTTCCTTGCCACGTTTCTCCTCTTTTGTGACTGGATCAATATACGTACCAGAATTTACTATGAAGGCTGTGGTACGATGTCGACTTTTGCTTGGCCGGATTACCTTTAGTTGTAGAAGCTGATCAATATGCTTCTTGAAGCTTTCCTTCATCGCCGGAGTTATATGCTTCATTGGACGATCATTGATTGTAAAATCAGGGTTTTTCAAGTCCAATTTGCAGGTAATCTGATTGTGCGACCAATATTTCATTGGATCATCTCCTATGATTCCACAGGTCTTGAGTTGCATCATCAATTCTTCAAACTGCTGCTCAAAATGAGGATTGATGTGGGTTGAATGAAACAGCCATTCCATTGAAGGCTCATAGTAATGATCCACTGTAAAATCCTCTTCTTCTTCAAGCTCCTCCAAGAGATTCACTGATTGGCGGGTCTGGATTGTTATTACATTCTTATAGAATGTAACATTGTCTCCTTCGATACGTACTCCTCCATACATTGCTCGAATGAAGTTGCACCCGATGATCATCTGAATTCGTCCTCCAAGCTTGAATGGAAAACTGTATGTGTAAGGGATTCGAAACCAGTTATCCCCGATATACATCTTTCCTCCTTTTAACTTCTTGTTTGCCTTTGACTTGGAATTTATACCATTAAACTCAACAGTATAGGTATTTTCTTCCAAGGCTTCTTCTGGGACTGAGTCAGAATCTACAACGCAAGTGGTTGCACCTGTATCAAGAATTGCGCGTAGTTGAATTCGTTGGACTCCTGGAACTTCCAATTCTACAGTGAGATTGTAGAGCATGTTCTTCTTCTTCTCCTTGTATTCTTCTCCTGCAATTACTTCTCCAAGAGCAAGAATCTTTTCTGAAGGACCTTCTTCAAATTGAACATGAGCTTCAGCTTCTCTTTCCAACTCCTGTATTTCTTCTTCTTTGTACTTTCCTTTTTGTCTTAGTTCTCGTTCGT